GGCAAAACTTCTCAAATCTGCAGAGAGATGGGGAAGTCAAAGGATGCCAAATAGATTCAAACTAAGAAGATCTTCTCCAAGGCATATTATATCAAAATGTATAAAGTTAGAGATGAAGTGGCAAAAAATGAGTGCCAAGTTACCTATAAAAAAATCCCATCACGAGCCAGCAGGTTGCTTGGTGGTTAAGGCACTGGATCCCACATGGCCAACTCTATGGTTTGAGTCTTGGATCCAGTGGCTTGGGAAACATGCCACGTCATTTGCATGCGTCCCCAAAAACTCCCAAGAGAAGAATGGAAGAAAAGGGATTGTGGCATGCCCATCTTCTTGGGGAGGGGGTGGCAGGTGGTTTCTCTCTCTCTCTTTCTCTCTTTTTGTTTGTCTCTCCAGCAAGCATATGAGCACTACAGAAAAGAAGGAAAAAAAAAAAAAAAAACTAAAAAAAAAATAAGAAAAGAAAATACCCCATCAGACTAACCTGGGGTGGGGTGGTTTCTCTGTCTGTCTGTCTCTCCAACAAGCACATGATCTCTATAGTGAAAAAACTAAAAGAAAAAAGAAAAAAAGAAAAGAAAAAGAAAGAAAAGAAAAGAAAAGACCCCATCAGACTAACCTCAGAGCTTTTAGCAGAAACCTTATAGGACAGGAGGGAATGGAACAGCAAATTCAAAATTCTGGAAAAAAAAAAAAAGTAGCTTCAACCAAGAGTACTATATTCAGTAAAACTTATCTTCAAATTTCAGGAAGCAATAAAATAATTTCCAGACAAACAAAAACTAAAGGAATTCACCATCACTAGACTGGCTTTTCAGAAATATTTACAGGAACTAGCAGGTGGTATAACGGTTAAGGTGCTGGACTCCCACATGGCTGACCACAGTTCAAGTCCCAGACCAGGTGACTTGCTTTCTGTTTCCCTTTCTCTCTCTCTCTGTCTCTCTCTCTCTCTCTCTGTCTCTCTCTGGTGAGCACACATGTCCTAGAGCAAATTAAATAATAATACTAAATAAAAAATAAAATAATTATTTTGAAAAAAGAAATATTTACACCTGGAAATAAAAGGAAAATAAATATCACTGTGGAAACACGTGAAGCCATAAAGCTCACTTTAAATATAGAAGACATATAGAGAGACTAATCAGGCATTTCATCTATTTTGTAGAACAATCACACAAAGAAAGACAAATGATTCAATCCCTTCTACTATGAAAATGACCAAATAGCAGAGATTAAGCCATAACTAAAGAAGAAAGGAAATCACACAACAATCAGGAAACCCCCCAAAATATATACTGAATATATGTAAAACAGAAATCGTAAGAAAAAAAATAATAAAAATGAAACATAAATCTAGAAGAAAATATGTTGTTATTCGTTTACTTACTAAGTGGGAATGATTTTCTAAACAAAAGGTAAATGGAAATAAGAAAAGGAAAAATAAATGTGATTATATAATATCTAAAATGCACATTGTATTTTAAAAAGTAAATAAAATAGGGAATCTTCCCTTTAGGGGACTGGCAGGTGGTATGGTGGATGGGAGCACTGGACTCCCCACATGGCTGAGGTTCGAGTCCCAGATCTGGCGGCTTACTTTTTCATTTTCTCTCTCCCCATACTCCCCCGTCTCTGGTCAAATTAAAAATAAATAAGTAAATAAAAAAATAAAATAAAATAATTCTTTTTTCTTTTCTTTTTTTTTTTGGAGGGGTTTTTGCTATAGGGCACGTGTGCTCACCAGACAGAGAGAGACAGGAAGCGAGAAATCACCCCCCAGGGGGGATGGCCACACCGCAATCCCTTCTCCTCC